CGCTAGGACGATCAATTGCAAATTCTCCAAATGCAGCCATGGACTAAAATTTCATCATATTAATCGAGGTCCGAAGGCCCTGTCTAAAAGAGACAAGTGAGAATGCTGGTGGAAGCTGAAATCATATTGGGCGTTTAAAAAGTTACAACTATTCGTTAGTAACGGTGAGAAGAAGATCAAAAACGTGTGTCTTGGGCTAACCAATAAAAGCTTGTAAATCCTTAATGAAGGGTGAGCGTGTTTGGCGCAATTTCTTAAACAAATATTTTTAATGAACCGCTGCTCGTCGTGTTATTGAGCTAAAGCATGCCTACCTTCCATTCAAACTCCATTATAAATGCACAGTTGCCTTTCTGAGGACATTTAAAGTCGAAAGATGAGTTCTTCAACAAATTTTTCTGCGGCCGCACTATTTGAAGTTATGAAATGTACGACGACGTATCATGTTTTATAGAGTGTACGAATACAGCAAGGTAAAAATGGGTTTTTAATCAGACATTAGTTCAAATCTAAACAATCAGGTGAAAGAAGGAAATTGAGAAAAGGAAGAACTCGGATTACTAAGCTTTTAGCATCTATCACTTCATGAAACAAATCATCACACGCAGTTAAAGGATGCTAGTTCTCACATTTCATAAATCTTGAGGATTGTGGAGAAATGCCGCTGACAAAGATAGGAACCCTTTTCTATGTACCTCCCGCGCACCTGCTATCTTGCTTTCCTGCTGACAGGCGTCGTGGTTTGAATCGCGTTAAGCGGCTACTACAGTATTTTAATTTCTTTATCGCGTCAACTTTGAGAACTGTGATATCGTCTTTGGAAAATAATATTGGCAAAACAGTCAAGTTTAATTCAGGGTCATCAGATCCTCATTAGAATGCCATGTGGAGCGACGTAATCCGGAGTTCTGAAATGTGCTTGCAATTCGAAAAGAAATGAACATTCAGGAGAATTATCGGGTACTTAATTCACGAGCTCCTTCACGGAGGACTTTGAAAAAACACTTTTCCAAAAAACTGCCTAAATATTATGCTATTTTCTCAATGTTTTTGCTGCTCTAATAAATTTTTGACATTAGAAAAAAAGCAAATAGGTTCATGAAAAATGCTTTATTGCATTTGTTTTGAAATGTAAGTTGGTGCAACTCAAAACACCAAATATTTACACCGAAAATTATCAGTATCGTAATTTGTACGCCAAAATCCTTCCATTTTTACTTCTGTATAACCATTTTTCTAATCACTGATTATCATAAGTACCTTTTAATTCACGTATGCTTCACAGTAGCTCACTTAAGAATAGAACAAGGCTAACCGTGACATTAGGCGTTGAGTTATTTATTTTAGAACAGTTCGTGACCAAACGCGACATCGTAATTACGTGCTAATGAAAGAGCTGTATGTGCGTTTTAAACATAAATCACTTGGCTAATAACATGCCCTTTGTTTCAGAAACACATATTTTTTGCAATTTCCCGTACAAGGGTGAGAAGTCAAATTTTTGCGTTTTCTGTAAGTGTTTTATTTTCGTTTTTATCGATACAATAAGCAATAAAAGCGTGTTTTTGTAAGGCCTTTCCGAGAGCCGGGGAACTGTCGATTGCTTTTCGTCTCCTTTAGTCTCGTAAAACTTGTCCTTGCTGCTCGCAAAAATATGTTCAAATTCTTGTGCGTTTGTTTACGTGTTGTGTATCATGCATACGTTTTAATAAATGAATGTGCAACGCGACAGTGACTACAATTACTCACGATTTTTTTCATCCAATGAATAGGAAGAAGACGTTTTCTCAAATCACAATGTGCTCAAAAAACAGATGTATGGCCGCATTAACCTATGTCAGTGTCCAAAAAATGACAATAAATGCATTGCACGTTTTTAAAGAATACGATAGACGATTTCCTGGATTGGGTAATCCCAAAGCGCTCTTTGATAATCATTGCAACAGATTAAATGCGTGAAGATGATTGTGGTAAATATTTAAGCCGTTATTTAACTGCTGGATAGCAGAAATAATGCTTTGCACTTCGATAGTTCGACCGTCATTGCAAGCCGTGTTCTCTACGGCAACTAAGGACAGAAACAGTAATTCGAGTGGGATCTAGTTTATGAAGGCAATAGACTTGTGCAGCAAATCCGGCACTCTCTTCTCCCTTCAAGCCCAGGTTCAGTGTCAAGACAAAGTCAAGAACACCGGAGGCTAGAACGAGCATATGTGGCTACCACGACGAATAGCTGGGCCTGGGAGTACAATCTCACCCTCTGGTATGCAGCAGACACTTACCAGGATTATAAACCGCCACACAAATAATCAGGTGGGACTGTTCTCAACTGGCGCGTGAAAAGGCAACTGAACTTGCCATCATTCCTCAATGGTAGCGTTTTTTGTCACCGTGCATTCCTGATATCGCCCACAGAACCCTCATTTGGACTCTGTTTTGGTCTAGCACGTTGTAATATAGGTACTGAATGATTACCAACAAATACAAGGGAAACTGAGATGGTAATTGTTAGCCTGCTTACTGACGTAAGCCCTCCTTTACTAAACCGTAATATGAAGTGCCCAAACACCGATCTCGTGTTCTTTGGTCGTTGAGCTTGCGTAATTCTAACACCCTACCGATTGATCTACAAATTTATTTTCCTGCAAGCGACATTATTTGACATTTTGTGGCACTGGATTTCGCCGCATAACACAAGAGGGCAATCAAATTCGTAGCATGAGTCTTGAACACATTTCAACATAGTTTTTCAATGTATATTTTTTTCCGAAAATTACAGCCTATTTAGGTTAAGGTCTTTATCTGGGGTGCAAGTACTTTTGCCGAAGCAGCAACCTTATTTTGACGTATATCGGAAGGAAATCATATAGTTATTTGATATTTTTGAGAACAAAAGAGTCCCGATCAATTCTCAAAGGATTGCTTTACTTCTGGCCACTTTTCGAACCGTATACCAGTCGAATTTTGAAAAATTATAGCATTGGGGTTTCAAAAACTATAGTAGCAAAATGCTTAAACCTTTCAGAATTACTTCATTGTCTTCTATGCAACACATTTGGCACAAAGTAAACGACCGGTTTAGGTATTATTCGTGTTGTTTCCCAAGCGTATCATTTTATGGCGTGTGAAATATTCAGATTTACAGAATGGGAACGACTCTAGACTGCACAATATTTTATAGCCTCTACCAGATGGTTTCATGCCAGCGGCCACGCAGCATGCCCAAAGTATCATGTGCCGCCAAGCCGACTAACCAATCCGAGTGCGAAGTTGGAGATAAGAAACCTTTTATTCGCCAAACATACTTCTGTCAAGCATTTGCGAACGGGTGATCAGTGCAGTAGACTGTAGTTGTCTGTGCTTAGAAGGCCTGGTTACAATAATCAAGGTATCTACCCGACCAATGTCGTTTTTATTCCTGCAGTTCTTTTTAAGCACATGGATAAATTTTCAGTGTAGCCTACTGAAAATTTATCAACTGATTTCCCACAAATATAAAGGATGCAGAAAATGTGCAAAAACATTTTAAGCTCAAGTGTCCACATACTTTATCTTAGTGCTTGCAACCGTGCCTCGATTTCAAAAAGCTTTTCAGGGTGCTAACTTAAGTAGTGTAATTCCAGAAATTAGCCCAATAACGTACTTAGGCACATATTTTTGATTCCCAAGAATCAATAGGTTTCGGTTTAATGAAAAATATAAAGGTATGGTAAGTGCCTATAGAAAAATCTTCAATTATTTATTCATGCCCATCAAATGGGGTAGTTTGGGCATTTATTTGGTAAATTTGATTGGTCATTTTTATGTTTTGTCGTTTTTGTCTACCTATGCCATTGAAATTTCCAAAATAACTTTATGTATCAGAAATGACATTGTCTGATGTCTTCGAATAATTTATATAATCATTAGTAAACAAAAAATGGCATGTATATGTGGTTTGCGTTTTGATCTCTCGCATTTCTTGAATCACCAGATCTGGGTGTGATTTCTTCATGGGAAATAGTTATATTTCCTGCATGGGGGCCATCGGCGGTTTTTGCCCAAGAATAACACTGCGAGTCCAATTGCATCCAAGATGCGACAAAACAAGTTAGGCTTTACGGGAATTATTAAAGCCCTGGCCAAACGTTTCGTTACAAACGGAGCGACACATTCCCTTCTTAAGGACAAGGGAACAGTTTGTTTGACGTACGCATTTGCGTAATCGTTCAAAGTACGCTTTTGCACGAAAAACACATGCGACTTCATAGCATGCAGTTTTAAAACGGAATCTCACTATCAAGGATTGAAAGCATAATGAAAAGCTTTCTCTTTCCTTCCCAAACACTTCTTGAAATTTGGAAATTGTAGCACTGAGCAAATTCCGGGCTTGTTAGGCCAATTATAAACCGATCTCGTATGAGTAACATTATTTGAAGGACGAGCAAACTCCAGTCAATAATCGGTTATACACGAGACCTACATTCCCTTACAACGCCGGTGGCCTTATGCTAAGCCCCAGAGTGAAACCTACACCGCTAGTCTTCAAAACAACCATGGCACAATCTCTAATTTTAACCACAATCCTGACGTCACTAGATGTTAGGATAAGAATATTCATGGCATGGAAAGCCCCTAATGCCCTCTACCGCCAAATTATTTCACTTGGGCCAGTGTTTTGTTGTTGGGGGTGTTTTTCATGTTTTTTGGCCAGCAAATTTTTAAAATATTTTTTTTTGTTTTAGACAACAATGCAACATCAGATGACGCTTAGGAGGGCGCTTTTGTCCACTTTAATGCTACTTCAAGTGGTAATAATTTGTCTATCTTCTAACCTGGAGGCATCTGCATCGGACGCAATTACATCCGAAAATTCTCCCTGGGTGGATCGAACCTCGGAGACTTTCACCGATCGGCAAGATATAATGAGCGACAGCACCATATCCAGACCCGTGAACGAAGCGCCAATTTCACAAAAATCTACTATTTCCTTATCAGGCATACCTAGAGAATTCTCCACCATGTTGGAGACAGATGACAACAATACTTCAAGCAAAATCTCCTACACAGCCCCAGCGGACGAGTTTTTCACAGGTGTACAAAAGCCTTCAAGCGATGGACTGTCTGCCGCCAGTGCGCAGCTCGTGACTGAAACAGCTAACGAAACGACAAAGTCGTCATATACAACCGCGCCGTCAGAGAGCGATGTAATCACAAGTCACGTGAGTGTTGGTACATCGGGTCACTATTCGTCCCAACAGCCAGGCACAACCTCGATGCACACGGTGGATTATGATGGCAAGCAAGAGAGCGAACCTACGTCCATGAACGAGGAAGCAACGTATATCAAGAGTGAGAATGACCACAGCCCCTACTTCGACGCAAACACTACAGAGCCAGTTGATACGGAAATCGAAGAATCGGCCGTTACAGACGTGTGCTCACAGTCGAAAGACTGCTTCATTCCACAGCATGATCTTAGCACATCGACGAGTGGGGAGACCGATGTAGACACCATCACATATAGTGACGGCACAACACAAGACCTTCTGAAAAATTTTTCTGAAGCAAAAACACATGTGTCAGGCAGTGAAAACCTATATGATCAGCATCATAGCACCGTGGTTCCAACTGAGCCGGAAACACAGACTGAAAAAACTTCGACGGTTGTTTCAATGCAAGAACAAGAGCCTAGTTTTACTTCGGAAATGGTCACGAACCATATAGAGCGCACGCCAGCGCATTCAGGAGGCAGCACTTCGCAAGACACAGTCTCCTCTGAGTCTGCCCAGGGCGACATTTATGCACGGCTTACGGTCACCGAAAACATTCCGGACACGCAGCCTTCATCGACTACAAACAACGACCTGTCTCCTGTGGTGAATTTAAGCACCGGACTTTTTGAGGCGCATTTTACACCTAAGGCCTCTGTGCCGCAAGCAGACTCCTCAAGTTTTACTATGGAAGTATCTGTGGTCTCGCAGAATGTTGATCCTACCACAGCCATTTCAGTTGATCCCGTCAACACTGAGGCTGTTGAAAAAGAGTTGACTGAGTTTCAGACAGGAGAAATCAAGCCGTCAGAAGTCATGCATTCCGTGGACAGCAGTTACCCTGACAGAATGGCATACGCCTCTACAGATACTTCGGATGAAAGCAGTGAGGCGTCCATTATGCAGGGGAACACATCTCAGATTACTATGGACTCGGAGGAAATAATTCTGTCTTCCTCCAGTTGGGTAAAAGAGCCATCAGCCACAGTTATCTCACTATCTTCGGACGGAGAGACATCAGACGCTACGGATGCAGTTTTATCAGAAAAGCCAGTAAGCCACTATTTCGCGTCGAGCACATACATAACGGCCAACAGTGACAGTTTAACCGAGGAGAACTTCTCGGACATTGACAGTACCATCACTGGAACTGGGCAGGATGAAATGACGTCCACGGCGAATGCTACGCCAGAAAGTGTCACAGTTAATGACATGGAATTGCTAACTCAAAAAGGGCCTGAAGGAACCACTCGAGATACCGAATTGTCAATCGAAAACGCCAGTACAGGAAACGAGTCAGACGAGTATTTGCAGTCAACTCCTAGTGAAAAGGTTGTGATAAAATTTGCATCTCCGACTACAGCACTCCAAAGCACTGTGAATGGTCCCGAATACACTGTCGCCGCAGACAATCTCGCAATAGGCGTCCTCACAGACGCATCCAATGATGTATCAACGCCCAGTGAAGAAGATAATTTTGAAACTGTTACTTCCACTTCAGCAGACGAGGGTGCTGTGTATAGCAGCGAGAAAGTTAGCAATGAGAGTGGTAGCCAGAAGGATTATACGCCAGGCCGGTCGACTGCTTTCCATAGTGATGCACCGCTGAGCACTACGGAAACCGATCAATCAGGAATGCCAGAGAACGAGGAAACTGATGATTCAGATGAACTCGAATTTACACAGTTCTCTCCACAGACAAATACCCAGCCCTCTGAGGACTCCAAGGGACAAGTGGATCACAATGAACTGATTACCTTGAAGGATGTATCAGATGTGACACCAAGTGAGGCTTGGGAAGCAACTGACAGGGTGAACTCAGGAGATGGTGAGGAATTGGTCGCTAACGAAGACGACATTGCTACTGCTGATCAAACCACGTTTCTTTATCTCAGAGGCAGCCAATTTAGAATCCCCAGGTGTAAGTCAAATCTGTTTTTGTTGAATTTAAATATCATGTTTTAACTAGCTTGGCCGGCACCATTTTGTTAAAAAACTGAATTGAACTCGTAGACTAATTCGAATTACTTATTAAGGGCAGGTAATATCCGTTGGAGCAGTATGCCATAGTTACTAGTGTCCATCTTGTTAGAACAGAGTACGTGTTCTCATTTTAGCTTATTTTGCCCGCAAAAAGGGGACCTTGTTAATTCTGATGAACGCAGTAAGCGAAGTCAAGCTATCTGATGCTAGCGATTATAAATTTTAATCAGCACATGCCGTCTGAATAGATTTCCCAAATTTGGTCATCCTCATGTTGGCTTTACAGGATATTTTAGAAATGTACATTTAATAATCTGACGGCAAAACGACATATAAACGCAATATCCTGCGCTAATATACCTTGCGTTGACCCAAAACCGATTCCAGGATCCCCATTATCTGTCATTATTGAGCTTGTGGAAGCCTGTGGAAGATCCGTCCGAGCCATCCACCTGCGGCCTCCCTCGTCTCCGGTCTTCTTGACTCTGTCTTGACACCGGGCCCAGGCGGAGGAGGAGGAGAGAGTGTAGGTAGATGCAGCGCAAGTCTACCCGCACTATAAACCCCTGCGTAAGTCACCGTCCCTGCTCCCACTGCAGTCTGTGGGGCACACAATGGACATCGTCGAAATCGACGGTCGAACTGTCGGAAGCTAATAATTTCTTTACCTTTCCCTAAATAAAATGAAACTGATCCACATTTAAGACTGCATATTCATTTTTTTAAAAATTGGACGCTTCTTTAGATTTCACTAAATACGCTGAAAAGTATAAAATATAGCAAAGTAAAATTTTTTAGTTAACGGAAAATATGTTATATAACAGAAAAATATGTCAATAATATTTTCAGGATCTTTTAGGTCGCTATCCATCTAAAAGTCCTCGGGCCTCGTATTCTGATATCAAACAGCAGGTGAAACAACTAACCCTCCTCTTTTTTGTTTCTGTTGGCTTTTTCGAGGTAGGGAAGCTACTTTACAACCTTCATTCTATGGCATAAGGCACAACATCAATGGCACGCAACTGAGTTTGTAGCGAGAGCCACCAATTTGAAATTTTTGCTGCGAATTGTTGGCAAATTACTATGAAACCGTTTTGGGAAATTTTAGTAAAAACATTGCGGGACATCTTTAGCGATTAGCATGCTTAAAAACCCGCCTGACGCCTATTGAGTTAAACGCAGCGGAGGGCTGAAACGTATTAGTGAGAAGAAATATCCATCTGTCATATGAATACGTTGTTTTTCCACTTATACTACTCAGTTTTTCGACTTTGACTGACATTTTTCATGTGTTATTTCAATTGGTCTTTTAAGTTGAGAATCATCAGTTCTATGCTTCCTTAAATAACTTTATCATTGAATATAATACGCGCCTGCGCTTCTCAAATGCTACCAGACTCGGAAATACTTTTGCAATACGACTTCTGCATGACACTGCTTGTGGAATATGCATATAATGCACTCGAAAACTTTGCTTTGCGCGAACTAGGTAAAATATTGAAAGAAAGTGATCTTATTACCTTTAAATTATTCCAACACCCACTATATTTTATGCGTTTAAAAGGTGTTTCCACAATATCCTAAAATGATATTTCTATATCATCACCATAAGCTTATCTTTTGGTGGTAAATATTTAGGATATCCTTAAAAAATTGTGAATAAATAGACTGCGAGCAGATCTATTTAAAAGGAGATTGATAACGATATTCCGGACGACCTAAACATGTCTTACGCAATAAAAACATTTGTCTTTTAATGACCAGTAATCAGGTCACTGCGGCGAATGAACAATGAATTGAATTTCAATTCCAAGTGTGCATTCGCCAAATGGGGGAGTTGGCAAGCTACTCATTGCGTGTACGCAATATCGAATTAAGCTCGTTATCACTGCCACACTTTCCGCCTGTGCATTTCGTATTTTTCTCAAATTGTGTACTTTCTAATGAACACAGTAAAACAGGCGCGTATTCTTCAGTGAGCGAACATACTGCTTTCTCATACGACTTCTCATCGACATCCACCAGCAGAGGAGGCAACTGTTTTATGAAACTATTTTTAGAATTCAAGAAATCCAAGCGGACCATTTGGGGGAGTGGCCGTACCAGAAGGATTGCTTAATAACTAGGAGGCACTTACTAGCAGAATACTCCGAGGAATTCTTTGAATCATTTTCGAAAGAGATACGTTAAGTCCAAAGTCTCGAAAAAATGTGGTCTTTAATTACATATCTTTCGAAAAAAAGACGCTGGAATTTAGGGTAAACAAGTGGGATGTCATAAGTGCTTAAGTTACTAAGCTGAATTGAATCGAGTTCTGGACACTCACTTCTCCCCCCCCCCACAAAAAACCTGGTATAAGTCCATTTTAAAAAGCATAATACGGTTCTCATTTGTAATCATTGACAAGATCTCATATTCCGATGATAGCTACCTTTACACAGTATCCTAAGGCTTATCTTCAACCTCATTTCCCGCCAAAAACGAAGTCGACACATAACGGTATAAGCTCGGAAAAGTAAAGAGATTTTGGCCTATGACCTCGAAAATAGCACTGTTTTACCGGGTGCAAGGTTTGTTGACGATAGATATAATTTTGTCTATGTCATTGCTTCTTCGAAAGATAACAAATCACAGCACACTGTTATCCTTCTGCTCATACCTCCATCGTTTTACAGGACTCTTGAGGTGCAGATTGTCTTGTCGAAAAACTTAAATGCACATCATTCTAGTTACCCATTCGCTTCTATCATAATTTTAGTACCGTAGGCCAAAATATTAAGTTTTTTATGACTCATGAGACATAAGTGTCTGCGTTCATATTTTTCTGGGCATTTTTTGAAACATTCAGCATATAGTGTCTTTGATCTGTCGACTTTTCAGAAAATCTACTATCTACTTATTTTCGAACGGTCACCAAAAAACTGACAATTAGGACACAGAGATTTCTGTTCCAAAAACTATAAACTGTTTACGCCCGCATAACGTGATTAACAAGAGTCTCTAACTAAGAATGCAAGTAATCAAGTCTAATGTTTTGTATCTGGTTGCGGTAAAAAAAGGGAATAATATTGTATTTATTTCAAAAACATTGACTAAAGCGGATTCTGACATATATCGCTCGGCTTATTTGCGTAAAAATCGTCCTTACCTATTTTAGATACAAAGACTAGCAGCGCAAGGACGGTGAGTGGATCATTTGCTGTCGTATTCGCGACCTTTCAACTCGTTCTGCGATTTTGAAGTAAAACCAAGGACATACAAAGGCGAGTCTCGAGTACTTGTTGTGTTCTTTCTAAACGAAACATACACGTAAAGAACAACGAATCGTAAAATAGGAAAAAATTTTCTCTCAACATAATTTCCTCGAAAACAACTAATTTAATATGTCTAATACTGAAATATACTGAGCACTTATACACCATCTTTGGGGCATGCCACGCTGAGTTCACTTTGAGGTCTTTTGTGAAAATCTTCCTGAGCCAATGCGATCGTTCCTGAGCTTAATATATCTGTGTCGTAGACACAAGACATAAAATAGGGTAACATTCACTTTTGCCACTGTCAAATCCCGCTCCAAGTTGGGTGAACCGGTCGTGTGTGGTACACGTAGACAGCCTGTTTGACTTTGCCAGGCACCGCGTCCTTTACTCCCCCCGGTCTCCATTACTCATTCTTGCCACTGCACTCAGGAGGGGAGGAAGAAAAGAATACGGTAGATTCAGAGCACTTTTACTGTTCCTATGAACTGATACACGTGCAAGTTACCGCTCAGCACGCGCTAGTCTGTGGGGCTCCCAGAAAACATCATCATTCCCAATGGTCGACGTTTGAGATGAGTGACACCATGAATATACTACCTATGCGTATACATTTTATTTTTGAACCATCGGATTATGCACGCCTCTAAACTTTCGACTGTCATCCATATTTCTTTTTGTCGTGCCGGTCTAGAAGTTCTACTGAGGAGTATGCATGCCTTAGTCAACTGCTATCTCATTGGATACGGTCAAGGTCAAAACAAGAACTCTGGATTTTGCAAAAACTGCCGTATTTCTAAAAGTTTTCTTATTGTTCTCCACAGATTTAACAATCAAGCACGCTCATGCTGCTCAAACTGCCAAGTCTTTCCGTCCGCTGTCGTCATCCATTGATTACTACTGCACTGCCAGTCAAATCCACCAACCTGCAGTTAAGCCTCTCTTCTTTTTGTACTGGAATTGGAACCATTTGTCTATCTAGGCTACTTTTTTCCTTGGACTGTAAAATAATTGCAAAGATGCTACGGTTATCAAATGATTAATCCGTATGTTTGAGTCGTTTACAAACTTTCTGACTTGTGACAACCACGCCTGCTTCAACCTCATCAGCAATTTCCAAAACATATGCCCAAATAACAGCGCATTTATTGACAGAGGTCAGTTAAATGATGAATTTTTCCATAAAATGTTTTGCTTCTGGTCCATGAGTTACTTAAAGGGACGTGATAAGCCTAAATTTGGTTACTTGTAATAAGTGATGCATGTTTCTCGAGCCACAATGTCGAGACGAGTAACACACACTAATGACGCCACAAATTGGCATACGATGGAAAAACACTGATGCACAAGGTTGGACTTTCTATCGCGGAATGCATCTTGAGCAATTAACACAATCATCCGTGCATGAAGGAGGTTAGGCATAGCAAGTTACTCCTAACCGTCATAATTCGGAGCAACCTGCACTTTGACCTCAACTCTATGCTACTTGCGCAATTTGCGCGTCAATCTAAATAGCACACATTCAAGTGTTTAAGACGACAAACATGGATGTCACTCTAACACTCGAAAACGCACTTCTGGCATTAAGCAAATATAGCCTGGACACATTCAGAAAGGAGTGTACTCCTCTAAGCGTTTTGAGACACCTACTAGGATAGTAAAATTAGCGTCGTCAAAACACTCGCCAGGTTCTTGGTTATTAAGACTGTCAAGCTTATTGACCATAAATTCTAGGATTTATTATTCATGTTTAAATCGCTCCACTCGCCTTTGCTTGTAGACAAAATGAATAGGTGTCAAAAACTCTGGAAGATATGATTTAAACTTATAACATCGTCGCTATATTTTCTTTGTTAGAAAAGAGATTGTGGAATTTCATTTTCAATCGGCTTTTAACGCAAGTACTTCTGGAGAATTTCAATTTCGCAGACTCAAAAATATGAATAGGATGTTGTCCGAGTAAACCGAACTCTTACCGTCCGAATACAACAGTTACTGGCCGTTAAGACTGTTTTTCCGATTATTCAAAAAGCAAAATGGCGTTCTTTTTTGTGCTGAAGAAACTGTCATGCTTAGTTTTCATGTTTAAAATTAGGCGATTTTATTGGGGTTTTCGAGTCCTGACAGACACATAAACACACTATTTTCTGCAGTAAGTAGTAATCTGTTTTCGGAACACGGTCAATTGACCAAATGCTTGCTCACCAAAACCTTCGGCTAGCTTCTTCCTACAGCATTTGCTGACTGTTTGATATTTGTGTCTCGTTTCCAATCGATGGGAATGAAATGGTTTTCTAAAACACTGTCTAGAGCTGCTGTTTCGGTACGAAAGAGATGGATTTTTGCACCACTCTAAAAAAGAAATTCTCTGAAATGTCATATCACCCGACATACTTTGAATCACAAATGAGTACAATTCAACAGTACAACAGCGTATCTAGTTCAACTTTTGTTTTGTCTTATCCGAAATCCATTGGTGAACACTCTGTCTATTCGTACATACAAATATTGTAGTCGAACGCACATCAAAGTAATCCTGACGTTTTTTTACCTATCTTATCGACTTAGTATAAACGAAGAATATACAGTTTCCAAAAGCATTAGATATAGAAACCAGAGGAATGGGTTACTGTTTATACTACTCGTGAATTTTCATAAGTATTTGATTTTACAAAATTCTGTCAAGCGTTTATGGATGACTTAGTAGACCTTCCTCATCTATTCAAATGAACGATTATGAGCATCTCATAAAACAGAGCCTATAACTACTTCGCTTATGTGCTTCATTTTCTGCACACACAGAATTGCCCATAGCCCACAGAGGTCTGGTCGCTCATTCAAAACCCATGGTGAACGATAAAAAAGTGGAAGTTCGGGACCCAAGTCATTAGAGGTGTTTCCTTCCAAAATACGACCTCATTCACATGTAATGTGTGCTGTTAATTTCTGACTATGAACATAAATATCAGACCTAAAGTCATTAAAGGGTATTTCTTGATTCTACTAAACTCCCTGCAGGCAAAAGTTCTGTCTGTCCGTAAAACATCATAGAAAGTGTACATATTACACAATCACTGGAGAACTTGTAAATCAAAAGGTGGAAACTTTACGTGCCTTAAACAAGCGACGAAATACCCGGACTGGTTACTTCCTCCATGCGCGAATACAAGTAACTTAGGCTTCCTGTCGCGCCTTACCTGTAGAGTAAAGCCGATTGCATCAAATAAAACAACATAACTGAACGCAATTATGGATTTTGATTGGCACAGTCACCTGCGTAAAGCATCAAAAGAAGCGTGAATTTTGCATTAGTGAGCCACCATGGGTTTCAGAACTATCATCTCAGAACTCTTTACAGCCTTCGAACAGGGACATCACTTTTTAGAATTCATGTAGCTCTTGTTATCTCCTTTTGGGGCATAACTACTTTGATAAACGGTATTGTTTGACAATAGAAACGAAACGACGAGTCGCAGGAAGCGGTTATGAAGGACGAGAAATAATCGCTGAAAACAGGGCCTTATTTACTTCAGATTGCATATTTTTATTGAATCCATCATTAGAGACAATAGTAGATACGGTTGGTTCATATAAAAGGTCTGTAGTATTTATAGGATACAGTCGCCATGCTACCGTGTACCTATGAATATTCCCGGCTCCCCCTTCATAAGGGGTTGCTGCACTTGGTGAACTGAATGTTTGATAGCCGACATTCGCGTCATTAATTGCCTCAACTTTATCACGTGTTTTGGATATTGGCGTGATGATTGCTCAAGCATCCGGCCCACCGACCCCGGCGTTGTGAATACTGTTTTTCTGTGCACTCTCCGCTTGGCCAATTTCCCCGCTTAGGCGATATCTCAGTACCGAATATGGAAGAGTAGGGTTATTGGACTTTTTTATGGGCTAGGAGCCAGTGAAATAATCCCGGAAGATGGAAGAGCCTCGAATTTTCATAGGTATGTGGTATCATGACGACTGCAGCCCCTTGAACATGAAATATCCGTATTCGCGTTTGTCTCCAAGCATGAGTTCAGTCAGGATTCAAAAACATCGGGCAAATTAAGTTTCCTTTCCAGCGATCGTGTCTTCTTCTTCACGGTATGTGTTGGATCTAAAGCTCTTTAAACATAAAAGTTCTCACCCGAATAATCATGGCACATATTATTAGGCATCCGTAAACCCATCCTCTTTTCCAAATTTATCGAAAAAAACTTCAAGATTGTTTGCATGAACGAAACGCACGGTCCAGTGGCGTACGCAAATGCACACTCTTGTGTCGACCTTTGGTCTCTCGAGCACACAACATGTGCTCCACACGCTGAGATGGACAACGAAATGCACTGCAAAGGTAAATAGAGCGGACCCATTTTGCTACAACTCGCAACTGTAGGATGTCCATATTCTTAAGTGCGATTATTTATCACAAAACTGGCATATTTCACAAATGAGACGATGGAACTTAATGATACCCCCGCCAAGTGCTCTATCACAGAATGCCTTGAAACGTCTGCGGGTATAACACCCACTTTTCGTGGAAAGCGTCAGACCTCTGTGAGAAGCAGGTCTGTTATGCAGTCAAGATGTTGGACTATTTTTGGCGATATTTGTTTCAGTATGCCCACACAGCAGCTGCAATCAGGATATCTCAGAGCTCTACGCTAAGCGCAAACTCTGCAAACGTGTTTTGTATCTAAATCATTATAGGGGCTCATTGGTGAGTTAATTGCTTGCTCCCATAATTGGCCATGGTGACATGGGTTCCAAAAATAGTATGCTACATCATAGTCCGACCGTCGTTGCCGACAATGTCAAATGTGTGCACCACAACAAGCCTAATCAGAGACGGTGAATTTCGCGTGATTTATAGTTTATAGTGAATAAAGACTTGCTCAGCACTTACGCACTCTCTCCTCCTTCCCCATCCGGACATGGTGTCAAGACACCGGAGACGGGCAAGTAAGCAGGTGGATGGCACGGTCG